CATCCCTTGTTAACTATTTGCCTGCAACAACACTGCGATCATCTGTTGCTATTTTTTTTCAGGTTCCTGGCAACAACCAGAAAAAGATCGGGGATGCAGCCTTTGTCAGTCACGCCCCAAAACTATGGAACACACGACCCTCAGATATCAGGGAAGCTTACTCGCTAAATATTTTAAAAAGAAAGCTAAAAATGTATCTGTTCACTTTAGCCTTTAACTAGCTCTGACTTCCTGATACAGGTCTGAAACTCTTTCTTTTTATGCTTCACACTGCTGCAACTCTTTTAAAATACTGTATTTTACTTGATTTTAAAATTCTATGATTTTATGATGTCTATTTTCATGTGAAGGACTTGGTGCTTATATGCTCTTATTGTACAGCACTTTGTGCTGCATTTCTCATGTGAAAGGTGTTATATAAATAGTTTATTATTCTTATTCTTATTCGTATTCTTATTATTACCCTCCAACCCCCCCAGCAGAGGTCTGGGCTAATTAAACCCTCTGGCCTCCTGTCATTTTGCAAAAGTGGCCCCTGGGCAAAGCAAGTTGAGTATCCCTGGTGTAGTGATTGCTTGTCAAGGAATAACAGATCTTATCTGTATCGCCAAAAGAAAATAAATGTTAGATTTTAACTCAGTTTTCAGATGTAATCAGGATGACTGAAGGTTACATGTTGCAGACCTAGATGCAAACTTGGTCTAATCAGAAACAGACATTTTTAACAATCTTTTTACAGTAAGGGTTAGTATCTTTCTTGGCTGCTTTTAAGTATAGAAATCTACACAATAACATCTTGTACTTGTCATACACAAACTAAGTGCTCCCTCACAGCCACCAGAGGGCCCTCACAGTAGGCTACCACAAAAACAAAAGGAACTAGAAAAGCACTCGGAGAGCGCAGACCTCCGCCAAGCAGCTCAGATTTCCCCCCATTTTATTATTTTATCCACTTCGCTTCAACTGATTGCCACCAAAATTTTATCATCTGTTCCATGTCCCATTATCAACCTTTCCTGAAAATTTAATCAAAATCCGTTCAGAACTTTTGAGTTATTTTGCAGACAAACAAACAGACAAAACATAACCTCCTTGGCGGAGGTAAAAATATTTTGGAGTACTGACAGAAGTAGTGGCGTCTTTAGGCCCGGGCATCCGTAGCTTCAGCTCTGAATGTGTTATAAATATCCCCTAATCTAAAGACATAGGCTATATACATACA